TATACAACCATCACTAGATATGATATGCAACGAATAGTGAGATTATTTAATGTTTCGGTTATATATACATGCATATGAGTATATATGCTTGTACATCTATTATTTCATTTTCATGTACACGATTTAATGCATTTACATATATCCGTATATGCATACATATGTATGTATATGAATATGTTTGTGTGTGTGTGTGATGGTGTGTGTGCTTACACATATATAAATAACACATTTACATAGTGATAATTAATTTAATAAAGCTTAAATGATGTGGTTTAAGGCTTTGTGTATTTCCTAATTTTCTAAATCAAATGTTCAAACTTCATGTTTTTATCTGTTTATTTTCGAGTACATATATATATATATATATATATATATATATATATATATATATATATATATATATATATAGCGAAATTTTGACAAAGTGCAAAAGTTTACTTTTTTGATGCATTTCTTCTTTCAGAACTTAATTGGGCTAATTTACGAAAATGACGAAATGGGTCACAAGCATACTTTTTATACGTTGTCGATAAATTACCCAATGCTGTTCGTGATATACAAAATACACACACACACACACACACACACATATATATATATATATATATATATATATATATATATATATATATTTTTTTTTTCTTCTTAAATCTTTCAAATTTCCGAAAAGTCCTTTAATGATAATAGACTGTTCTTGATATATATATATATATATATATATATATATATATATATATATATATATATATATATATATATATTTGTTTAATCCGGAATTAATCATATATTTATAAAAACGGTATTAGTTATAATTTTCTAGCTATAAACAAATAATCTTCACCGACCCATTTTTGTCATGGTGTGCCAGCGTAATTATCATTTTAATAAAAGGGCTTACGACCATCTCACGTTAAAACGCCAAAGTTAAGCAACATCTAACCTGGTCACTACCTACTTTGGTGACCATTTGGAAAAAACAGATGCTGTAAGCTTAGTTATACGGGTGGTGTAATGAATAACGGCTCTGAATTGGAAATCGGATTGTTGAACTGGAATTCCAATCGGGTTCGTTATATTAACTTACATGCAAATACCCTTAGGAAATATGTGAATGAACATCTTCTTCACCAGCTATGGGTTAATTGTATATGTAAGTTATCTCTAAAACATTCTTACAACGCAAAATTATTTTTCTTGTTTTAAATAAACCCTGAAAAACAAAATGAAACAGTCTCTCAACTCTGAGTGTTGACTTCAATGTTCACTTTATATATATATATATATATATATATATATATATATATATATATATAATACATGTTAGCCGATGCGCTTCGTCCTCCGATGTATTTTTAAACGCAAATATAAGGCTTTTTATTTTGTATGATGTATTTAGAAAAATATTTTTTTTTTAAATATCGTTAGTTATTATTATTATTTTTTAATTTACAAACGTTCATGTACTTGAGACAATTTGAAAGTCTAGGTAAATTATGGAAGCAATAACTGATATAATTTAATATTTAATAAACGAAACTGAGTAAATGTGGTTACAGGTTGTGTTGAATTTGTTTGCAATGCAATGATTATTTATATAATAAATTATGTATTATATATTATAAATAATATAATTTTTTGAATTTAATCGCTTTTAGTTTTTTAACATTTTTATAATCATATTCGTTGGCTTCGGAAAGCTGTATCTATTTAGGAGAGGAAATATTTCTAAAAAAATCCGGGGCGCATATATATATACGTTGGTATGATTCGATAACGGTACTATCAAGACTTTTCGCCTCTTTTCTATTTTAATAAGTGTATCACACAACACACACACACGCACGCACACACACACACACACACACACACACACACACACACACACACATATATATATATATATATATATATATATATATATATATATATTCAGATACAGTGTATCAGAAAAAGAACAAAATGAATAAAAAGCGACAAGATGAAAAACTAAGGCATCGGTTCTGAAAAGTTTTTTCCTCTTCTCTCTTTTATTCACACACCCACATATATATATATATATATATATATATTCGCAAACATAAACATACATATATAATGATTTAACGATATATAATTTTGTATAATTTTATATATCAACAAACGTTAGTCATAAAAATGTCACAGACTGGAAGAGTTAACCTTTCTTGTTTGTTATAATTATTAAATATATACATAAATATATATATATATATATGCGTATGTATGTATGTATATTGTTACCCGCAGATAGACTGTTTCCCTGTTTCATCAGTGTGGCTAGACTTCCGGTCGCCTCTAGCTAGGATCGAATCCCGACTGAATTTTCATCAGTCGGAGATTCTACCCCTACGCCGTTGGCGAAGGGATGAAGGTTAAATTTAGCATATTGATTTTGTATTAAGGATATACATACATGTATGTATGTATGTGTGTGTGCATGTGTGTGTGTGTGTGTGCATATATATATATATATATATATATATATATATATATATATATATAGTACAGGGAAATTTAAGAAATTCTATTTCGTTCAACATTTATTATTTCACGGATGAAACAATACAAAACAAATGTTTGCGTCTGACTCTTCCATAACTGAATGCAAGGGCCGTCGTTAAAGAAGAATTTTTGTGTCGATAATCAATGTAATTGAAACATTAGAATCGCATTATATTTTGATTTTTTGAAAGAGAAGCAAGACAAAGAAAGAATATATTTATAGTTATTTACACATATCCACCCCACCTACAGCCGTAATCCCCAACGCGCATCACACAGGATCATTGAGTAGTTATTCGAAATCATGGAATGCGCATTTTTTGTGGCAGTATTATCAGTTTACGTGTATTTTTCTCGTTTAGTGGGTTTGGCCCTTCATCTTATCCCGTATGAATTTTACTAAATCCACGTTCATGGAACTACGAATGCGTTGATGTGCATACATAGACAACTATAGAGAAACTTTATCCCGCAAAATATTAAAAATACAACAAAGTTTTACCTTCAAATGTGTTATTATTAAGAGGAAATATCAAAGGATATTTTTGTGTTGTTTAATCCTTTTGAAAATCTTAAATTAAAGCCCCTGTTTTTCTGACATCAATGTGGGACCAAAAATTTGTATGATAAAGTTGAGTTTTATACGGTGAAAAATACAATGATTTGGGAATTCTTGCAAAAATAGATAATTGGCGGATTGTAATGAAACTTTCAGGAATTATTCGGAAATAAATTTCAGTGTTTGTTCAAAGCATATTTTTTTAGACAATAATGATAAAAATAAGTTTTTACATCTGTTACACCCAGTTTATTTAATTTTATTAAATTTCGAGAAATTCTTTTTGTAGCGTGTTATGTTTATATTAATTATAAGGACTTGTCCTCGGAGAATTCAAATTATCAAACTGTTTGGTCCAACAGGAAAAATAAGCTCTGAACTATAAAATTAAAAATCATAAAAACAAAATTCTATTTAATTTACAATGTTTTAATTGCTTTTATGAATAACATACCTTATGGACATTATTGCGTGAGGAAAATCTGCCCTAAATCGTAAAATAAAAAAAAATACAATAAAACTAAGATATTATTTAATTAGAAAAAAATATTTCGAAAAAAATATTTTTGATAAATAATTTTTTTTACAATATCTTTAAAAAAAATAATTTGAGTAATTTATAAAGTTTGAATTTAATACATTTTATATTTGAAATATATTTTAATAAAGAGATTTATGTTTTTAACTTGTAGGATTCACCTACTATTGTTATTAAATGAAATCTGAATTTACTAATCATAGATGGAAAAAACTTACTACAATTTATCAATGGCCATTATTTATGAAGAATTTTGATTTTTGTATGAGGATGTATTGTAAACGTTTCGATTTTTGTAAATACGGACGTCAGTACACGAAATTTGAAGAAAATAAAAACGGTAACCATAGTAAATTTAAAATTTACTGGTAATTTCCTCGACAAGCGTCTTTCTAGGTAAGACTGTAATGCCAAAGTACATAACTTTCAATAAAACATTAGAATGCTTAAAATATTTATGTTTTTTAGCATTAGACTAATATTTGGACTTTGCTATATGCATTAACACCTCATAAAAACAGCAAACCTCAGTGTTAAAAATGGTTGTCAGCGATATTTTAAACTAGAAGTAATATTTTTTCAATTCAGATTAATTAAACTTTAAAAGTACATTTTTACATTATTAAAGAGATTTATGTTTTGTTTATTGATTTATTCAATATTTACGATTGTATCGATTTCAGTAAAAATAATTCGAAACAATCTAAATTCAGTTTGAAATATATATTTAGTTTATCGGAAATATTAAATTTAATCTATTAGGTGAAATTAAGACTAAGAAATGATTTTAATAAAACTTTTCATTTTTAAAATGCTTTTTAAACTTTAGTTGTCGCTTATTTTAGAGATATATGCATAACATATGTGTATAATTTATTTTAGCGTTACATACATATGTGTATATGAAAAAGTATATTTAATTGTTAAATATACTTTTTCACGTTTTATTTCGGCACTTAGTAGTATTATGTAAATACATTTAAATAGACATATAAATGGATAGATGTTAGAAAAAATTTAACAATATGAAAAATATACAACGCAAAAATAAAATATAGACATTTTTATTAAACATTTATATGTACATGCATATATATATATATATATGTGTGTGTGTGTGTACATGCATATATATATATATATATATATATATACATACATATATATATATATATATCTGTGTGTGTGTACATGTTTATGTGCACATACATACATACAAACATGCATGCATACAGAGAAAGAGAATAATAAATTGAAAGAAAGAGAGGGAGATAAAAATTTACACCGTCCTTTGCAAAGATTTTGTATAGAATGAGTTTTGTAAATACTGACAAATTTATTAAAAGAAATAGATAAATAGAGAAAATTAGATATATCAATAGATTATGAAAAAACTGGGACAAATATGTAGATCGATATTAACAGACATAGATAGATAGATAGATAGATAGATAGATAGATAAATAGATAGATAGATATCATATAAAAAATTCTATAGATAAGAACAATATTAAGTAAATGCATGACAAAGTAGAAATGTCTTGTTTAAAGCGTTTCCTCTTTCATAAAGACTTCATTGAATTAAAATAATATCTTTGTTGGTAGAATTATATCAGTAGGTGTCTGGAGAGGAAGTAAAACGTAAGCATAGATTATAAAGCAAGCGCTGAAGATGTTAGATCCATGAAATTATACATTTTTAAATTTAATTTATTTACAGACCTGTCTAGGCATGTTGTCTACCCGATCTCATTTAATATCCCTAAACAATTGTTTTTGCTTTTATCACTTTTATTCTTAAATATCTCAGGCTGATTTAACAGGAGATCTACTAAGAAAGGTGAATTGTTCTAAGAAACTTAACTCAAATAGATAGATATGAAGAGAGCGAGATAGATAGATAGATAGAGACTGACATCGATCGATCGATCGATAGATAGATAGTGACAGACTGAGATAGACAGATAGACGGATGGATAATTAGATTGTGACAGACTGAGATAGATAGATAGATAGATAGATAGATAGATAGATAGATAGATAGAACCAGGCTGAGATAGACAGATAGACGGATAGATAAATAGATTGTGGCAGACTGAGATAGATAGATAGATAGATAGATAGATAGATAGATAGATAGATAGATAGATAGTGACAGACTGCGATAGACAGATAGACAGATGGATAAATAGATTGTGACAGACTGGGATAAACAGATAGATAGATAGATAGATAGATAGATAGATAGATAGATAGATAGATAGATAGATAGATAGGGAATAATCTATGATGGATAGATTTGAGGAGGGTGAAATAGAGACAAATCTTGAAGATAAAAAAATAAGGAACCTATTTATACTATCATTTCCTTCTCTGCCCGGCCTGTCTGTTACTTTCTCTTTGACCCTGAAACCATCGTAAATCTATGTTCATTGCAACATCAAATCCGAACGAAGTATGAAAGGACATGACGACTGAAAGGAAGACAACTTCGCCTTTGATCACGACTCGTTGACCACAACATTAGTTTTGCTTCATCTCACTCCAACTGACCAAACTGGGTCTGATGATCAGCAAAATATCTGAACAATAATTCATGGGAAAACAAGACTTGTATTTATGAATGTGTGCATACAACTGTGTATCTATATCTATATATATGTTGTGGTATGGTGTCTAGCAAGACACAACACTTAACTCGACAGAATCAAACAGCTAAACAAGTCACTTCAGTAGTATTATCTTAATATTTATTCGTATAATATAAAAGTGTGGCACAAGGCCAAAGTGCGAGTGCACGAATGCATACTTCTCAGGGATTGGAAGTTCTTACAGGCGTCCTCCGTCTAGAATTCGCGCTCCTCATCCGAATCATGACACATTCGATCTAAGAACGCGACGTGAAGCATACCCAGACCGACTTCAGAAGGGTGGAGGTAACAGATCTCCTGACATACATTAGAGGACTTGCCTTCGCACAAGAAGAACAAGAGCCTTACTAATTAAATTAGTATGGGATACGGAAGTGGAAGTACTGAAAGTCTGCCGCCCTCCCATTTAAGGAAAGATTCCTCCGGGACTACAGACGAACTGCGGCCTCGACTTTCTGCTGCACATCCGACCATTTCATTTCCAACAAGAGATTGGGACTGAACAAGACGTCGAGTATCTTGACCAGCCCGTCCATCCACAGGAAATATCCGGGAAGAGAAACTCCCTTCCACGCACTCAACCGCAATCCAAGAGACTTATCGCGGTTCATCGTGGACCCTGACACCGTCTGATACACTCCGATGTCTTTGCTGACTTCGTCAATCTCGGCTCTGTTCGACACAAGAACTGAAACTTCATCAATATAGGCGGAATAAGTGGCTGAGTTAGTAGCACCAGGTAGGGAAATTCCGCGTAGGACCAGATTCGCCTTTAACTTATGTAGGAAAGGTTCCAACGCAAGAACGTAAAGCAATGGCGAAAGTGTACAAACTTGGCTAATGAAGCGAGAAAATACAGCTCCAATCAAACCCCATTCACTTCCACCAGCGCACCGGGAGACGCATACAGAAGTCGTATCCATGTGTGAAAGTACGGTACAAATAATGCCACCGAAATTTCGGCTTCCAGAAATCGATGGTCCCCACTATCGAAAGCCTTGGATTGATCTAAATTGATCTGAGTGGCTTCATTCTCAACTTGCTCGATGACCAAGCGTACCATATGAAGTTTATCCTGAATACTTCTACCCTTCACAATACAAGTGTGATCGGAGCAAATCACACTGAGGACAGCCCGCAAACGGTTGGCTGAGATTTGGCTAAAACATTGTTAAAGGCCGAAAGTTACCTATCCCATCCCCACCGATTTGTCCTTGCGAAGCAACTTGATCACACTCCCGGTGAAGCGTTGACATATAGGCTCCGGCATAAACAATTTGTTGAAAATCAGTGCCAGCCAAGGGACAAAAACGGGTGCTTGCCCCTAAAACACTTCGTATTGTAGACCATCTAATCCTGAAGATATATCCATGCCAATCTGATTCAGCGCTTCCCAGATTACCAACTCAGTGATGGGACACTCAGACCCAGCTGCTTCAGCTGCATCCAGGCAGAGAAAGTCGGCTAAATAGGCGTCGAAATGAGCAGTGCTCAGAGCGGCCTCCCTGTTGAAAAGATCCCGAATGTAATCCCGAAAAGCCTCACATATGACACATATACACGCGTTTGAAGTCACGGTCCGATTATTTGGCAACGTGACGCACGCAATATGTCGATGAGATGCATTCCGAGCCTCCTTTGCATGCAATTCAGCGGACATATTCGTTGCCTCAGAAGATATTCTTCTTAAACTAGCACGAATTTCCAGAGCTTGGCACTTTTTGATAAGCAAGGTGGCCAACTCTGTCTTAGCTAAAGCTAAATCACCGCTATCATGGGATTTTACTGCCCGATCAAATAGCTCACATGCCGTTTGTGCTTCTAATCTATCTAGATTTTTGGATTTTAATTTATCCCACCACATATTCCCAGCCACAGCCTCCGTCATTTCCCTTTGTAGCATTAGTAGTAGTTGGTCTAGCCTACGATCTAAATTAACTATATAACTAAACCTTAGACACCCTAAGAGCCCTGCATCGACTCTTCTAAGACTAGGTCGATCTAGCTGGAACACACATACGTAGCCGAGTTGCTGCTATTTGTCCAAGTACACACTACTTCCCGAGGGTATTCTATACTGTACTTATCGACATGATCAAACTTATCGATAAGTTTCCGAAATGGTTTCATGTCGCGGTTGTTAGTACCCGGTCATGGTTATATACGATCCATATCGGGATCAAGGACAGCAATCCAATCCCTCGCTAAAACTTACCGACGCGATAATAATCGTTGGACGCAGAAATCTCAGTTAGACGAAGAGTCTTATCCTTTATAGTAACATCCAGCACGCAAAGCTTGCCTGTCGGTGCTGCGAAGTCAAGAGCACATTCTGCGTTCCAACACCTGTTTACTAGTCAGGTATCTCCTCTCGAGCGAACATTAAAACATGCTGAATACAGAGAAAATCCCCCAGACAGAATGTTCTCATGATCATGAGATGAAAAACAGGTCCCCTACACGCAACAAACATTCACTCCTAGTAGCTGAAGGTTTCGAGAAAGCCTCGACCTGCGAGACAGACCAATGTCATTCACACTAGCTAACCAGTGTGCCATTATCAGACCGATTAGGGTTGCTCTTCTGCATTGAATATGGCCGGGCTGAGGACACCGACAGCCTGTCCCATAGATTCTGTTCTCATCTCAGTGCCGATGCTACTATCATGAGACAGACCACCAATGTCTCTGGGAAATCTTAGTTTTAAGGCTCTATAAAGAGAGGGTTGAACAAAACGCGCGAACCTCTCAGAGTAAAACTGTTTACATTTTTTTCGAATTGGAATCATTAAAAATTCTAAAGCCAGAAAATCCCAAATGTATTGTTGGCATGGTCAACCATGTCCCAAATTTATTGAGCTCCCTGACCCGACCATACTACTGTTAAAAATCATTCGGCCTTGGGGAAATTCGTCGGGTCCTCAATATCAAGACTATTTAGAGAATTAAAGTTTATGAGGAATTTTAGATCTTTAATCTTTTTGTATTGCGATAATGCCTTTTCCTGATCTTTAGAAACCTAGCACACGTCTTCCCTTGTATTAAAAACGCGTCTGAGTTTTTTCTTGTGTGTTGCTTCTGTCGACTCAGGTGATGAACCTTTTAGGTGTGCCGGTGGGAGTGTGAACAGGGGGATGGAGTAGAGTTACTGAGGGTACTGGAAGAGGTGGGATGGCCCTTAAATGGTGATTTTGGAATGGTGACTTTTTTAAGTTTGTCATATTAGAGGGAGTGAGAGATAAGCATCTAAGGACTGGAGGAGTAGCCATGTTTTGTGGATGCTGAAGACGGTTCCGAGCAAGAATTTTGAAGAACTTTCTCCTTAGGTGCCTCCTCCAATTTTTACAACTTTCTCGAACGATGGCTCATACTTTAATTTCTGCTGTGGAATAAGATCAAAGTAGAGTCGCCCTCAGAACTGGTAGAGGGAATGTGACTGTTCGTCTCTTACACGTAGGTGCTTTTGCGGGACTAGGTCACGCTACCCGGAGATTCCCTCTAGTCTTACCAACCACCTGCTATTCCATTCCTTCATTTTCCTTCTCCGAAACCGCACAACAGACTGACTTTTCAGGGAATGGGGGCCGTGAGACGGACCCAACTGGGGATTTCACAACACCAGTCCTGGTTGCTGGCATGTTCATTAAAGGTAAGACGGAAACAACAGACGGCCAGAGGGGGGGGTCGACGGGGTCCAGAACTCCAGAAGTCTTCTTCTCTGGGTAGGAAGAGGCGAGGTGACCAGTATCTCCACACTTCCAGCATTCTTCGGCCCTTGACGATAATAGGCATTTTCTGGTCCTCTTCATATAGAAAGTTGGGGATGGAGACGAAGGTCTTACGATCAATCACTATTTCGAAGCTCCATTCCTCAATTCCCCTATCAGTTCATCAGAGGAAGCACTGAGTATATATCCGAATCGACACAGGATAAGCAACCAAACCAAGTGCTCCACGACGTAGTGACCTCGTATTTTGAAACTTTGGTCCTACGCCTGTTCTGAAAGAGGTCTTTGGTTATGAGATGTCGACTGCTTGTGGCTTCGCATTCGGCAGGCGTAGGTAGAAGTATGTCTCACAGGAAAAGACCTTTTCCTTTAACGAGTCTCTGTAGTTTAACCCCTGGGGATGTCAACGATCTTATTACGGTGTCTTTTGTGGAGCGACAAATTTTGCGCGAACGCTTGTCCACCACAAAGATTGACACAATTTTTCTTTCAAATTCTGTAGTTCCAAGGGATATGTCTAGAGCCCATCTTCTATGACAAGATGAGCGGAGTTCTTGGCTTTCTCCGGGAACTTCCAGCAAGAGGTCGTCTCCCGACCGCTACGTTGTGTTTGTTTTTGTTTTTTGTCGTATTTGTTTCTTCAGATTTTTTACTTTTCTCAAGCCAACATGCTTGTTGGGGTTTCAGTCAGTTCTTCCGATTTTTAGCCATTTTTGGTCACCATAGAATATTTCTCATTCGTCTTGGTGCTAATTTGCCTTTTTTTTCGTCCACCATATATTCTTCTTCATTCAGTTTGGTAAAAACCATAGATTAGCTTTATTCATCATTTCTTTACTTTGGTCAATAGGTGTATTGGTAATTTCATTTTCTCTGTTGGGTCTTTCTTGTGACCAAATAATATTTTGACTTATTCTTACTGATGAGTTAAATTGAGACATTTATCTTTTTGAATGAATAAATTTATTTTTTGAAAAATTAACAATTCTTAACATTTTTTTAAAATAAAACAAAAATTTAAGATAAAAATAAAACAAACTTATAAAAGAGATGAAAGATAAATATAGATAAAATAACTTCATACACAATAGTCAAAACATAAAATCCGTTCTTCAAATGGAAGAAAGAAATGAAGAAAGATTAATTTAACAAGACACACTTGATTCAAATCAGCAAACGGTTGGACGAGTAAGTTTTTGTATATTATTTGAATTGTTTGCGACGATGGATTTCTCGCCAATTAAATCATTAACCTTTGCATTTGTTTTTGTGTGAATAATTCATGAATTTGTAAATTGATTGCACGTTTATCGTAATTTAAATAACTGATCCAAGTGCGACTTTTGGATAATAAGTGCGACATTACTGTAATTATTGAACAATATAGTTCATGCCACTTTGACAGAAAATTTACCAGTAAAAAAATTCGTTCATCACCATATTTGTATATGAACGCACAACTTTTAAAAAATTTAAAATCAAACTCAGCGTTGCTATTGCGCGCTCCAAAAACAATAACTCATTTTCAATAGCATTTTCGGATACAACAATACATATATTTTCGTTGTCCTCTTATTACTAAGAGAAAAAACAAGAACAACATCTATTCTATACCTGAAGATGTCTGTAGGAACAGACGAAAGCTTGTAGTAAAAAAATAAGAACTAATACGGCAGAAATTTATATAAACAAGGATCTTTTCATTCATAACGGATTCGGAGGTTTTTGTATATTATTTGAATTGTTTGCGATGATGGATTTCTCGCCATTTAAATCATTAACCTTTGCATTTGTTTTTGTGTGAATAATTCATGTATTTGTAAATTGATATACGTTTATATATATATATATATATATATATATATATATATATATATATATATATATATATATATATTGTTTAATATATTAATTTTTCAATTAGTTAATTATCTAGACTAATATAAATTTATTGCTAGATCGAAACCCGATTGAAAGAAATTTTGTCAGTATAATTTATATATAAAAAATACCAATTTATACATCCAATACTTTGAAGAACTTTTTTTTTATAAACATTTTATTTCTAGAAGTACATATAAACCTTATTTCGATTCTATAACATATATATATTATTAGATATATATATATATATATATATATTATCATTTTTTATATATTTATATATTATATAAATCTTATATATATATATATATATATATATATATATATATATATAAATTAATATATATATATATATATATATATTTTATATAAATATATATAATATTTACAATTCATTAAAAATTTGATTTCATTTATATAATATATTGTTTTATAGGTATTTTTTTTTTATTTAGAAAATAGTTTGAAAAACAGAATACAAAATATATATAATATTTATAAATTATTTTTTGATTTATAAATGTTTTCATTTTTTAATTTAATTTTTTATATTTTTAAAAATAAATCTTAGAAGAATTTTAATTAGTACATAATAAAGTTAAAGATATTAGTTCCATTTCATCCTCAAAGCAAATTTTGGATACCATTTTTAAAATTACTGGGTTTTAAAGAAAAAAAAAAATCACGTTTCCATGGTTACAGATAAAATTTAAATCAATTGGACAAATTTGTTTTGGGTTTTTTTGTCTGCAATTCATTGTATTAAAAGAGGAATGTTAATAGTTTTAACCAGAAAAGGGGTGAAAAAATCAATTTTATTTTCAATGAAAACTGACATCCGTTAAATGCAAAAAAGAAATTTTTTTTTAAATTTATTGTTAACGGCAAAAAATTTAAATAATTTTTCTATTTATAAATAAAAAGATTTTTGAAACGGTTAATTTATTAGAATATTTTTATTTAACTACGATTTAAATATTCTCAATTTTTAATTTTATTAATATATATATATTTTTTTTTAAGAAAGTCAAAAATATTAGAAATTTTTTATATGTAATAATTATTTTTTACATCAATTATATAAATTAATTTAAATTTTTTTTATATTATTTAAAAAATTTATGAATAATGAACGTTAAAAATAATTTTAATTTCATTGATTTAACAAAATAAATTTTTTATATATATATAAACCTATGTAATATATTATAGAAAAATGAAAAACGTTCAAAGGACAAAAGAATAAAAAAAGCTTACAATTTCTGGTATTTATATATTAATTTTATTTTACTATAGGTGATTTATTAAATTCTATTAAAATTATGCAAAAATGTAAGTACAATTTAAAAGAATTTTAGGTTAGAATTCATTTTATTTTTTACAATTTTATTTTTATATTTAAAAGAATTTTTAACAATATTTTTAATATAATATATTTTTGGATAAAAACAGAAGGAAATAATATTTGAAAATATTTATAGTAAGTAAAATTATTTTCATATATGATATTATTTATAAAATGATTATTTTTAAACTTTTATATTTAAATATTATTTGTAATATAAATGGCATTTTGAAAAAATATAATTCATTTTCAGATTTAATAAACTTTATTTATTAATTAATTTTATTTATTTATTTTAAATATAAATTTTATTTTGTAATAAAATTATATATGTATTCATAAATTGACATGGGTCGTTGGACATAATTACATCATTTATATTTAATATATAATGGGAGAATGTTCATATTTTATTCAGATATATTTTCTTTGCATTTACAGCATTATAAATTAAATATAAATTATAAAGTTAATTTTATATTTATAATTTTTTTTATTTATTATGATTCTATTTTTTTAAGTTTTAAAATTTTTTTTTTTTTTCAATTTTAAAAATATTTTATAAAATTTTCAAATCATATTTGTTATAAATTAAAAAATATTATAAAACATTGTTTTTTTTTTTTCACTTTTATGTCCAAAAATTTTATTTAGGTTTTAAATTAACAAGAATCAATAAAGATACAATTATATATAGACATTAAAACACATTTTTTCTAGTTGCATAAAACAATTACAAAATATCAATTTAGTTAAGAAAATATGTATAATGAATAAAAAAAAAAATTAATATATATAGAAAATTTGATATATTTTTTTTTTAAATTTATTTTATAATACAAAAAAATAAAAAAATTTAATTTTATAAATATAAATATATATTTAATTATTTAAAAAAATATTTAAAAATACATAATTGTTAAAATATAAAATCACTATATTTGTTTTTTACGTTCTGTTTAAGAATTTTTATATTTTTATTATGGAAAATATTTCAAAAAAATATATTTACAAGTTGGTATAGAATATTTTTGAGGCATTTTGAATTTTAAAAAAAGTTTTCCAATTAACTGATGATGTTTCTTTAATAAAAAAAACATATATTTAAAACTCAATTTTTTTTTTATTTAAAAATATAAATATATATTGAACATTTTAAATTTTTTTTTATTTAATTTAATTTTTAAATTACGAGAAAATATTGACTAAAATAATATAAAAAATTTGGGGATGCCCAATAAATTTCGAATAATTATTTATGAAATTATTTTAAACTTGATTTTTTTTCAATGTATTTTTTAATTTTATCACT